TCTATCTTTGGTGTGACTGGCAGGGCTCGTCAGGTGATTGATGTTTGGGAAATGTGGAATATGAATGGATCATCCCCAGAGAAGTCTGGCCAGTCCATGCAACCAGCGGCAGGGCTTAGAGCTCTGGAAATCATCTTATACAGAGGCTCACAGCAGCACGTCCCTGCAGTGGTGCTGGAGTCCGAGTCAGAACTCTCAGCCCAGCAGCTCAATAAGAGGCTGCAGCTGCCTGAGGAGGAGCATGGCTGGGGAGGGGCCAGACTAGGGTGCTGGGCCCCAGAGCCACAGCAGATGGTCACAAAGCTGTGGGCATTTTGTATCAAGTCACCCATGAAGGACTTGGGCACACTGCAGGAGCACATACTGAGCAGGTTCCTATGCCAGTGGCTGCATCATAGATCCTGGCCTTTGTCAGGCAGTGCCCATGACCTCCCTGTACCAGGCAGCACCTCTGGATGAGGGCCCTGATGGGTGGTGTCTTCATACTCACTGCCTGCTGCAGTTAAAAAAACAGCAAGTACAGGATTGCAGGAAGAAATGAGGAATCAAAAGATAAAGGTCAGGGGGCTGGAGAGATGGCTCAGAGGTTAAGAGCATTGCCTGCTCTTCCAAAGGTCCTGAGTTCAATTCCCAGCAGCCACATGGTGGCTCACAACCATCTGTAATGAGGTCTGGTGCCCTCTTCTGGCCTGCAGGCATACATACAGACAGAATATTGTATACATAATAAATAAATACATATTTAAAAAAAGAGAAGTTAAAAGATAAAGGTCGGAAGATAAAAGTTGATAGAAGTGAAATGTTCGTGAATCTGGTAGCCAACGTTAAATTGTAACTAAGAGACAAAGAAGAAAGGTGGCAGAGGATGGAATGAGGCCAGGAGTGGCTTTGATAAGGGCAGTGGGGAGAATAAAGTGACTGCACTGTACTACAGTGTCCATGGGTCTGGAATAGCGGCTGGCAAAGGCTCCCCAGGTGGAGCCAGTACTGAGGCCTTGCAGGCCATGGTCTTTCCTGTGTAGCTCTTCCCTCTGCAGTCAGAATGGAGAAGCAACAATAAAGCCTTGTCCAGGGAGGTGCAAGTCTTCAATCCTGGTGCTCCAGAGGCCGAGGCAGGAGGGTCTCTGTGAGTTTGAGGCCAGCCTGGTCTACTGCTGTGGTATAATGCTTTGTACACTGTCAAGATCTGTCACTAGTGTTGGTTTAATACGACACTGATTAGCCAGTAGACAGGTAGGAAGAATAGATGGGGCAACTAGACTAGGAGAATTCTGGGAACAGGAAAGGCAGAGACACAGTCCTTACCCAGAGGAAGAGGAAGCAAGGTGAGAATGCCTTACTGAGAAAAGGTACCAAGCCACAAGGCTAAACATCGTAAGAATTATAAGTTAAACTGAGTTGTAAGAGGTAGTTAGTAATAATCTGCAACAATAGGCCAAAATAGTTTATAATTAATATAAACCTGTGTGTATTTCTTTGGGACTGAACAACTGTGGGACAGGGAGGGACAGAAAACTCTGTCAACATGTTGATAGGAGTTTCTCTCTTGCCTGGTCCCACAGCTGTTCAGTCTCAAAGAAACCCACAGAGGCCTACATTAATTAAAATCTGGTTGGCCTAGTAGCTTAGGCTACTTATTAACTCTTATAACTTCTATTAGCCCGTAATTCTTGTCTGTGTTAGCCACATGGCTTGGTACCTTTCATCAGCGAGGCATTCTCATCCGTGTCCTCTATGTCTGGGTGACAACTGCAGACGAATCTTTCCTCTTCCCAGAATTCTCCTCTTCTGGTTGATCCACCTCTACTTCCTGCTGGTCACCCCACCTCTACTTCCTGCCTGGCTACTGGCCAATGAGCATTTTATTAAAATACAGGTGACAGGGTACAGACCATTGTCTCACAGAATCAACATACTGTAGGACGAGTACTAATTGGTCTTAATCATAAAAACCCAGAGTCAGTTATAGAGGTCAGAAAGATCAGAGAAGCAGAACAGCCAGCCACTAGTTCTTACCTCTACTAAATCCTCTGACCAAAGGAGCAATCCTGTCTCTATGAATCCTCAGAATGAATTCCCTGAGCTCTTATGTCCTCCCACCTTATAATCCTCTCTCCACCCAGCCATATCCCTTCCTGTCTTCACCTTCCTGGTTCTGGGATTGATGGTATGGGCCACCACGGTCTGGCTCTGTTTCTGTTTGAGCTTGGATCAATCTAGTGTATCCTAAGGTGGCCTTAAACTCCCAGAGATCTGTCTGCCTCTGTTTTCTGAGTGGTGGGATAAAAGGTTTATGCCACCACTGCTTGGCCTCTATGGCTAAGTAGTGGTTTAGCTCTGTACTCTGATTTTCAGGCAAGTTTTATCTGTTAAATCACAAACAAAATATCACCATAGACTATTTAATGAGTCCCAGTACAGCCGTTGCTATGTAGAGAGACCCCTTCTGAAATACAACCAACTAATCAACCAACCAACTAACCAACCAACCAAACAACAAAACCCTAAGAACAACAAAAACAATAAAGCACAGGAAAATTAATGTGTCTCAAAAATGTTATTCACAAACAGTTACAACATTAGAAAATCATTGGATTTAAATGTGGACAATAGACCTGAGTAGACATTTATCAAGATATTATAGATGAATAGCCAGTAAGCATGTAAAATTTGTTCAGCATCACTAATTACTAGGGAATTGTGAATCAAAAGCACAAGGCTGTTTCAGTCCACTCATTGTTTTACTTAGTTTATAGTTCCATGATAAACCACCATGACCAAAAGCATCTTGGTTGTGGAGAAGGGCTTATTTGGCTTATACTTCCATACTACGGCTCAGGGCATCAGGGCAGGAACTCAAGACAGAAACCTGGCCATAGCAACTGGAGCAGTAGCTGTGGAGGAGTAGTGCTTACTGGCTTGCCTCTCATGGATTGTTCATCTTGCTTTCTTATATCATCTAGGACCATCTTCCCAGGAGGTGGTACCAACCACAGTAAGTTGGGCACACCCGCACCAATTATTAATCAAGCAAATGCATTGCAGACTTGCCAATAGGCAAATCTCATGAAGGCATTCTCTGAATTGAGAGTCCTTTTCTCATGAATCTAGCTTGCATCAAAATGACAATGTGCTAGCCAAATCACTCACTTCACTGTGTGTGTGCATGTGTATGTGTGTGTGTGTATGCGTGTGTGTATGTGTGTGTGCATGCGTGTATGTGTGTATGCATGTGTGCATACAAGGGCTGTGGTGGTCAATGGTGGAGTCCTCCTCAGTAGCTGCCCATCTTCTTTCCTTGTTAATCTTATAAATTTGAGATAATATTTATACCTTAAGAAAAGTTTTAAAGAGTCAAAATAGAACCAAAAGTTCATGAAATTAGTGGCAATAAAATAGTCCTTTAATTTTTGTTTTTCTTCTGTCCCATATCAGATTGTCTCCTGAGCAATCTTGACTGGACATTGTCCTTAAGGCCTCAGGTTATTTTCTGAGCTTGGTCATTTCAGGAACCTGAAGTGGGCAGATGGACGTGTTCTAACGTTAAAGCAGCATTTGCCACAGGCATTGCCAGCTCCAGGGACGTGGTCTCTGAGCCTGCACCCTCACTGAGACCTGCGAAGCGTGTGGCTTCCCTCATTTCACAGACTGAAGCCAGCCTCTGCCTGTCCCCTACACCCTCACTGCCAATCCACCCTCTGAGGGCAAACCTTTGTGGAAATGTTGGCTTCAGATCCTGGATCTAGTAAAGGGTGACTTAATCCCAAAATGCACTTTGTGCAGAGCACAGGCCTTGTCCTTTGACTTGCAAACCCATTTTAGTCTCCACTTCCGTCATTTGTTTTTCACTGTTTCCAACAAGTTCTGTAAACAAGGTGATGTCACCCTCTGGTCCACTAAAATTGCAAGCCTCTTGATTTTGAAAGAGTCTCTCTCCATCAAGTGAAAAAGCAGACAGGTGGGACCCTGCTGTTGGTAGGACATTGTCCTTATGAAGGTTACCGCAGGATGCTTACTTACCCCAGGCCATTTGAGCTACCCTGTCATATCCAGACACTCATGTGTCAGGAGCCTGGGCAAGGTCCAGAATCAGGGATCCACACAGATGAGGGTCTAGCTTTGGACTTCTAGTGTCCTGTGAGAGTGTTCCAGGCTCGTGTGTGGACAGCATCCTGTTGTCCCTTGACAGCAAGCTTCTTGGAACACATGCTCTCCCACTCCATCACCCCTGACCTGTGAGCTCTTTGCTTCTTTGCACTGTGCTGGTTCTGATATCTGACTGCAAACATGGCTGTGACTCCCCTCAGATTTCTGACTCTCTGTGTTCTTGAAATTAAATTCATAAACACTGCCAAAACACTGATTAATTTATGATTGATGACCAGAAGGACTGGGTTCCCAAATCTCCTAAAGGAAAATACAGAGACCGTTTACTCTTCTGTTTGTCCCTGCCCTGGGGTTGTTTCCAGGTCACCAACTGTTTCTGTCACTGGAGTCTGTGTGAACAATTGGTAGCTGTGCAACCAACTGGCAGAGCCCTTTCTTCAAGGATAGTGCTAGATTAAGGTTTCAAATTGGGGGCGCGTCTTTTTGTACTTAAACTGAGAGTCGAGCCTACCAGAATGACAGATTCCCACAGTCTGAGTATGAAAACTGAGCTCTGCCAAGCAAAGGAAGAACATCCTTGTTCTTTAACTATCTGGCCAGTCTCCAGGGAAAGTGCCAGTTTCCGGAGCATCCAGCAAGTGGCGATGGCGGTAGTTGTTAAGAGGGTTTGGGGCAAGAGAACAGATTTTGCTTTTAGGGTGCACAGGACAGAATCTTGGGGCAGAGGCTGCTGAGGATCTTAATCCCTCCTCTCTCGGAGAGGGTGTGACTTTCTTGCCTTCCGGGTCAGGATCTGTAGCTCTGGCTACACAAGAGAGGAAGAAGAATGCCGAACTGGGATTGGTGCAGAGTGGGGCGGGACCGCTGCTTTGTCCCTCCTCCTTCTCTTTGGGAGTCTGCGTACTCTCACAGTTTGTCCAAAGGCCCAGATCAACCCCGTTAAAGCTAGTTTGAGAAGGCTACCGCCAGCACTATGCCTATGATCCTGGGATATTGGAATGTCCGTGGTGTAAGCGAGGGGGACTGGGACTTGAAGCAGGAAGTTCATAACAGCGGGGGGGCCTTTCTAGCAGAAGGGTACTCCTCGGCACTCACCCTCCCTCTAGGGTCTTCTGCCTGTAGTTCCCAGAGCTCAGGAGCATGCATGCTAGGGAGGCTGTGTGTGTGTAACGGTGCACATGTGCATGTATATGCACACTGCACGGTGTCTGTATTTGTGCAGTGTGTGGTCTCTATTGGAGAAGATGAAGTCATACGGTCCCCACAGTTTCTCACCTCTGTTTCTGATCTTCTCTCCCAGCTGACACAATCCATCCGCATGCTCCTGGAATACACAGACTCAAGTTATGAGGAGAAGAAATACAAAATGGGGGACGGTAATGACACCTTCCTGGCCAGTCACCTGTTTCCCTCTTGCCCGGTGATGTCCACCAACTCATGCCTCGCCCCTTATTCCTCAGACTGCAGCCCTCCTACCATAGTAGCTAGAGCCTGTTGCTTCCAAAAACCTCTTTGGGGGCTGAGTTAGGCTTTTCATGTAGATCACCAAGAATGGAGCTCCTGGTCCATCTGTATTTATAACCAGACTGGGTGCAGAATTGGGGTCCTATTGGGTCCAGGCTCTTCTTATTATCACTTGTTTATCTGCCTCTCCTCCATCTTGGGCAGTGACTCTGTGGGAGGTTGCAGACACCCTACCCGCCCACCTCAGGGGTTCTTGCTCCTGGTCTAATAGCAGGAGTAGGGTGGGCACTGGCTGACTTCTTTTCTCATTCTCACCACAGCTCCTGATTGTGACCAAAGCCAGTGGCTGAATGACAAATTCAAGCTGGGCCTGGACTTTCCCAATGTAGGTGCAGGGAAGGGAGGTTCGGGGAAGGCAGGGCATCCTCACCTCATCTCCTTGACTGGCTGAGGGGGTTTGGGGTCAGAGCTTCTGCTCTCCTGCTCCCATTCCTGGTGGCTGCACAGGGTGATGGGCTGTGTCCCAGCTCTTCCATTCAGTGTGCACTGTGTTCATGGAGGACTTCCCATGCTAGCCTCGCTGAATGCCAGGCCACATGGCCACGTGTCTGCCCTAACCCAGGGAAGTGAGGCTGGGACCTCATATCCCATTTGACTGTCCCTGCTTGTCTTTCCAGCTGCCCTACTTAATTGACGGGCCCCACAAGATCACCCAGAGCAATGCTATCCTGCGCTACATTGCCCGCAAGCACAACCTGTGTGAGTGGGGCTGGCTGCAGGGTGGGGCATGGGGGACAACCTCCATGTCTGGACTGGGGTGAGAGGCTAAGGGTGAGTCTGTGCTGTGTGTGCTGCAGGTGGGGAGACAGAGCAAGAGAGGATTCGTGCCGACATTGTGGAGAACCAGGTCATGGACCACCGCATGGAGCTCATCAGGCTCTGTTACAACCCTGACTTTGTGAGTTGCCCCTGGTGGAGCGGGCAGGGTTGGCAGCAGGACTGAAAGGCTTGCATTCAGATCTGCAGCCTCCTCCTTCAGTTAGTGAGTCTCCAAGCTCTCCTGTCTTACCAGCAGAGTGACCCTCATAACCCAGTGAGATAGCACATCGATATTGTGAAAATATTATTACTAGAGTAACCCTGCGAGATATGGTTGAGTTTCTGCGGGTGAGCAGTGGATCTAAGTCCATTATGTAGTTGTAAATCTGCGCCATGTCTGTGCTTGACGATTCCATGTTCATCTTACCCAGTGTTCATATAGCCTTCAGGATAAAGTTGGAGGATATGAGGATGCCCTGGTGGTTAAAATTACTTGTGGATCCTTAGTACCACATAATACCATAATCATAATAAATAAATAATAATCATAGTGGTTTGGGGGAGAAACAGGAGGATTTCTGGGGGCTTGCTGGCCAATGAGTCCAGCCGGTCTGTGAGCTCCAGATTCAATGAGAGGCTCTGTCTCAAAAAATAAGGTGGATGACAGTGATTGAGAAAGACCCCTGACATCAATATTGGACCTCCCACACCAACAGGCAGCAGTGTATCCCCAAATGATGCAAGGAGGTCATATATGCACACTGGTCTCACACATCTATCTCCCCATAGTTTTGCCTTAGGTATCAATAGAAACCAGAACATCTTCATAATGGCCGCTCAGGGTCAGCCAGAGGACTGCTTAACCTTCTTCCTTTCAGTATTAGTCACTGCTCAACACTGATGCAAGCTCCTCACTCGTGTGATGTGTTCTCATGGCCCCCCCAACCCCCAACCTAGTGTAACTGTCATCTCTTTATGTCCTTTGTGTCTGTGGCTCCACAGGATCTCTGAGCCCAGGATATGCAGGATACCCAGGAGGCCCTGGGTGTCACTCACAGCACCTGGTGTGGACTTCAGATTTCAGGGACAGTGAAATTCCTGTCTGACTTTCCATCACCTCTGACGTGAATTCTGCCACCAATAAAATAGTGATGCGTTAACTGGAAGCCCAGGCGCAGACCTGGCCCATTGTTGGGAAGGTGGTTCTTCTCTTGCACGGTGCTGGGAGCCCGAGCTCTCTGCTGGGACTCTGATCCTAAGGGTGGTGACAGCCGTTTTCTGTCTCAGGAGAAGCAGAAGCCAGAGTTCTTGAAGACCATCCCTGAGAAGATGAAGCTCTACTCAGAGTTCCTGGGCAAGCGGCCATGGTGTGCAGGGGACAAGGTAAAGAGAGGGAGGGAGGAGGGAAGGAGGAGTTGCTGTTCTTCCCAGGCATCACATTCCAGCACATTTACCCTTGGCTTCTTGCAGATTACCTATGTGGATTTCCTCCTCTATGATATTCTTGACCAGCACCGTATATTTCAGCCCCACTCCCTGGATGCCTTCCCAAACCTGAACGACTACATGGCCCGCTTTGAGGTGATGCTCTGATCTTGCTTCCCAGTGGATGTCCTATTTCCCTTCCCCTTTCCTGGATGCTTTTTTGTCTTAGTTAGGGTTTGTATTGCTGTGAAAAGACACTGTGACTTTGGCAACTCTTGTAAGAACAACATTTAATTCTTGGTGGCTTATCATTTTAGAGGTTTAGTCCATTATCATCATGGCGGGGGGCATAATGGCTGGGAGTATGGTGGCGTTCATGCAGACTTAGTGTTGAAGTAGTTGAGAATTCTACATCTTGATCTGAAGGCAACCAGAAGTGGTCTGACACACTAGGCAGTATCTTGAGCAAAGAAAACCTCCAAACCTACCCGCACAGGGACACACTGCCTCCAACCCCACCTCACCTACTCCAAACAGGCCACACCTTCTAATAGTGCCACTGCCTTTTGGAGTTTTTTTTTTTTTTTTCAAACCAGTACTTTCCACTTCCTGGCCCCCAAAGGCTGGTAGCCATATATCATAATGCAAAAAATACGTTCAGTCTGACTTCAAGAGTCCTCATTTAAAAGTCTAAAATTCAGACTCTCTTCTGAGAGTCGTACAGTCTCTTAACTTTAATCTCCTATAAAATCAAAATCAGAAAACAGATCACACGCTTCCAAAGTGTAATGGCACAGGATATACATTACCATTCTAAAACACAGGGAAGGGAGCATAGGAGGAAATACTGGACCAAAGCAAGACCGAAAACCAGCTGGGCAAACTCAAAACTCTGCCTCCCCTTGTCTGATGTCAAAGCACTCTTCAGATTTCCAGTAAGACCGCCCTGCTCCAAAAAGTCCACACTTCCTAATAGTGTCACTCCCTTTGGGGGCCATTTTCTTTCAGACCACCACACTTTTCTACTCCTTGGAATGGAAATGAAGAATAGTTGGCATTTGTTGAGCACTGAACTGTGTTGAGTTCTTAGATCTACTGCGTGAAATTTATCTACAGCCTACATGTTGTGTAGAAATATCAGCTCCAGTGGACTGTTAAGACAGCTAACTGTAGAGGCTGTCTTTTCTCAGGGAACCAGTTCCATTGGAGGAGGTTGTGTTTGTTACCGTGTGTGCGTCTAGCTCCCAAGGACAGAGGACTGTAGATCTCACTGATGCCAAAGGAAAGAAGTCATGGTTGCCATGGAGCCTGGATTTTCCAGCCCTGAGGCCTATGGTGTTTCATGACATGCCAGCAGTGTATAGCAAATGCCATTCAGAGTGGGAAATACGGCAGGACTGATGTGTAGTGCCAAGACACAGTCTGCATGTCTGGCCTGTCCAACTCTTTGCCCGATCAGATCCCTGACTGGGGAAGCCCTGGGACCCAGGGCTACAGCTGGTGCCCTGCTGCGTGTACAGTTTGCTGCTGTTGGAGGCTGATATCGTGAATTGTTCAGTGTTTAGGTATCCTGTTTCTTTCCCTTCATCTTTCTTCTCAGCAGCAGCTTGATGCTTTACTGTGAAAGGGGATTTTGCTGTCATTTTCTTTTCACCTTCTCTAGTGTCTCTATATGTGGCACTGTTTTCATCTCCGTGGTACTTGGAAGGATGCATCTCCACCCAGGGATGCTGAGTGGCAGATGTGCCTGACTATGAGGTACATGTGATAGCCACAGACCCCACTTTACTAGAGATTTGGGGGAGCTAGGCTGTAGTCCACTGGGAATCTTCGCATGGGATCTTTTTTTCTGTCCTCACTGCCCAACAAGCGATAGCGATGTGTTTTGTTAGTGTCCATCAGGCTGCTCAGTTCTGGAGACTGTGGAAGAACTGACTGTATAGCACAGTGGGAGAATGTGGGAGGCTGCAGTACAAGGCCAGCGAGGCCTGCTCACTTGGGTACAGGCAGCCTGAATGCTTCACAGCTTATGTAGGCTGTGTGCTGGGAAGATGGCACACAGCACGGTACCCTCTGCGGCCCTTCTCTAGTGGGGCTGGGGACAGTAGGATGGACACACTGAGTATGCATTCGACTGCCAGGTTTTAACGTTTGGATTTTCCTACTTCAAGAGAATGACCGAGGTCACTCCATTCTCTCCTTACTGGCTCAGGCATCCCTACTCTCATTAAGTCAGGATTTGCTGAGATACTGGGTATTCTTTGTTCTCTTCCAAACTACACAGGCATGTTACTGGTGCCTTTGCCTTTCTTGGTCTTTCCTCTATGTGGAATAACAGGCAAGAAGGAGCCTGCTAGAAAAAAGAAAAGAAACGAAGCCGGGCGGTGGTGGCGCACGCCTTTAATCCCAGCACTCGGGAGGCAGAGGCAGGTGGATCTCTGTGAGTTCGAGGCCAGCCTGGTCTACAAGAGCTAGTTCCAGGACAGGAACCAAAAGCTATGGTGAAACCCTGTCTCCGGGGGGGGAAAAAAAAAAGGCAGCAGGGTGCAGGGGCGGGGGAGGGAGAAGGAGTATTTATATAAACAGAGACTGACAAGGGATATCCTGCTTGGGGAGTGAGCCAAAAGAGCCTGGATGGAAGATGCAGGGAAGATGCAGAGGTCCTCCCGCTCAGACAGGGTTATAGACCACTGTCTTTCCAGCTGTGTGAGCTGGAGGGAAGCACTTGGCCTCTGAGTGTGTCCCTCCTGTTGAAGGCAGAGCAGACGCTGTTCCATGGGATTTTGTGGATCGCTCCCTCTCTATCTGCCCCACAACTGCAGATGGACACACAGCTGACAGCGGTGTTCGGTTTCTCCTTCCCTGCTGGAAGTCGAAGCTTCCCTTACCAGCGCTGGGCACCTGGGCAGCTCGTGCTGTGCTTGGGTTCTTAGAGGAAAACCTGTGCACCCAGTGGGCTACAGATCCTGAATTTCTGCCTTCTCCTCCCCTACAGGGCCTGAAGAAGATATCTGACTACATGAAAAGCAGCCGCTTTATCTACAAACCATTCTATGTATCGCTGGCCTATTGGAACCCAAAATAGGACTACAAAACCCAGACCTCTGGGAATATTCATGACCACCCTGCTGGCTCTGGCTCTTGGCCATGGCTGTGTGTCCCCACCAAATATTGTTTCCGTCTACTTTTTGTTTCTTTTTTTTTGTTGTTTGATTTTTCGAGACAGGGTTTCTCCATAGCTTTTGGTTCTTGTCCTGGATCTAGCTCTTGTAGACCAGGCTGGCCTCGAACTCACAGAGATCCGCCTGCCTCTGCCTCCCGAGTGCTGGGATTAAAGGCGTGCGCCACCACCGCCCGGCTTCCGTCTACTTTTTACTCCCGATTCCTCCATTTCTTCTTACAAGCCCTTCCTTCAGTCAAGCCTCTGGATCCTTGGACTCCCCATTTCTTCATCGGTCTCCTGCTCCTATTCCTTTGCCCTGCCCTGCATCCAGCCTTTCCTCCTTGCTGCTTGGAGGAATGTACCAGACCCCAGAATCCCCAGTAAGGCCTGAGAGATCAGACCTGCCTGTGTGCTGGCCCTGGTCTTCAGAGTGAGCAACTGAGCCCTGTCTCATCCCCAGTAAAGTCTGAATGACATTTGTTCTGTGTCTTGTTTTGCTGACTGTGACTGACTCTCAGGACCAACCCTGTTGACTTTTGGGTGGTCTCTCTTTCTGTCGCACTCATCAGCTTTCCTAAGCTGATCACACAACCCTTGTTTGCGTTCTCAGCCTTCCTGTCCATAAACATCCCCTACTGCCTGCAACTGATGTAGGAGTCTTTCCCTCCACTCAAGCCAAAGTGAACTGAAGAATTGCTTTCTTTCTCCTTCTCCATTTTAAATTGCTTTTTAAAGATCTATTTCTTTCTATTTTATGTGTGTGAGCACTACACGGGTACCTGGTGCCTGCAGATGCCGGAAGAGGCCATCAGACTCCTGGAGCTGGACGGACAGATGTGCACGTGGGCGCTGGGGCAGAACCACTCAATGAGCAGGGGACTCTTAACCTCTGACCCACGTCTCCAGCCTCTGGCTGTCCGGGGTTTTGGTCCAGGATCTCATGTCCCCCACACTGACTGAGTTCTCACTCACTATGTGGCTGAGATGGCCCTTAATCTCATAATTCTCCTTTTTATGCTTCCCGAATACTGGGACCACAGGTGTGTACCACAGTGCCAACTCTGGATTGTTCATCTTTGATATGCATGGCCAGGCTTGGCACATGGTTGATGAATCTGAAAATTTGGAATTTGAATCAGTTATCTTCATAGAAGTTTGGTCCTCCTTGTAGTTTGAAGGCGGTGGAAGGAAAAATCACACTATACAACAGAACTCATGTGGGAGTTTTATTGGGTGGAAGGGAGGGGGCGCAGACATGGCCTTTGTGGTAAGAGTGGAAGAGAGAGCAGGAGGCAGGGGGAGCATGTCTTTTATAAGGGGACCTAGGTCATGAGCACAGGATATGGCTGTAGCTGATGATGCATCCTGCCAGGTCCCCAAGGACAAGCCAGTGCAAATTGTTGAGTGCTAACATTCTTCCCTGCCGTTTATTATAAAAGGTAAGGAGATAGAAAGGGATAACAGGTAAGGGAGGAGTGAGGGCATTGTGTTCTTGAGACCTTGGGGCGTCAGCATTTTCTGGGGAGACTTGAGGAAGCTGGTACGCTTGCCAAGTCCTGGGTTAGCTGGTTGTTTCACTGCTGTCTAGGCTTTGTAGGACTGTCCAGTGCCAGGAAAGAGCAGGTCTAGCTGAAGCAGTCTGCATGGTTGAACCGCTTGGGATTAGCCACTTTGAAGCTGTCCTGGATACAGATTAAGGGGACACCTGGACCTGGTAAAATTCTGGGAGATCAGAAGAGAAAGTTAAGTTTAGAGGGATTTTTCTCCCTTAGTGTAATGGTAAAAATAAAATGGTGCTGTTCCCTGAGGGGTGGCAGTGGGCAGCCGGCAGCTATGAGGAGCAGTAGGTCCCAGGCAGGGAGCCAGGCAGTGGTTGAGAGACCTGCAGCGAGTGAGAGACAGAGACCAATAGACATGCCATGCATAGCGAGGTTGGATATTTATTTAGTGGGTTATGGAAGGGGAAAGGGAAGAAGGGGGAGGAGGAGGAGGGCCGGTGGGAAGGAGAGGAGAAGCTACCTCTGCGGGAGAAACTTAGGCTATTGATTGGCAGTGCTTACTCTGGAGTGCATTCCCACTGTTGAACCTGTACTGAAATTCACTCAATAGAAGCAGCAGGATACTCACGCCTCCGTGCCCAGTGCAGCTGATTGCAAGAGGCTGCAGGAAATGCACAGCAGTGACTAATGCTTAGCAAGTCGACCCACCAAACATAAACTCCCTGTTGAAGCCCCATTTGGCAAAGCCGTGAACGTAAATGCCTAGCTCTTTCCGTCCATAAACAGCTCAGAAGAGGATTCTCATAAATCAGGCATGGAAAAATGAGCCCCTGAGGAGGAAGACGGCTTGGCAGAGGAGGTAATAGAGTGTCATACCCCCGACCACCTTCCTCTTCAGCGCTTAATCATGCATCCCAAATGGACCCCTGAGAAACGTAAAGAGTAACAAAGAGGACCTCTGAGTTTCGCTGAAGTTGTAGGTCGGAATCACGGACAGACTCTAACAGGCAGATTTTACTGGCTCCTTTCACGGGAAAACCCCACTGCTATTTCATTCAGGTTCTGTGAAAAAGACAGCAAGATACTGTAATCTTATTTAGCTTCATCAGCTATGCCTACTTGTAAATAACTCTATACAACCCCCGGAGAACGTAAATAAAAATTAATGGAATTTGCTGTGCTCTCACAGCCCCTGGAGGCTCTGATCGCTCCGCAAACAGAGTTTTCAATGTAATGATTCGCTAGATACGAAAGAGTTAACTTCTGAACTGCTGTGGAGCTCAGAGCCGGAACAGCTGTTTATTTTCATAACAGAGCTTGGTTGCACTAGAGAGTTCCTCTCGCTAAATTACAAATGCAAAAAATGATTCACAACCCTCATTTCCACCATTCTGGACTTGTTTCTCCAACTGCCTTCTCCCTTATTGCTCTAAAAACGTCTCTTTCTTCTCTCTTTCTGAGTAAACGTAGCTAACAGTTTTCTGTTTATAAAAAGTCATGAGCACGTAAGAAAGTTTCTATCTATCTGGTCTCTTTGTGTCTCTGCGATTTTTCTCCCTGCGTGTGTTTGCAGTCTCCTGCGCCTGCGTCTCCGCCCCGCCCACCCCTCCCCATCCGTCTCTCTTTGCTCTTGGGGTTTCTTTCCCTGGCTGTCCCAGCTTCCTCTGATCCCAGCGGCCCCGCCAAAGCTCTCTGCTCTATACTTCCCTGATGCCATGCTGAAATTTTACCCATCCACAACGGGCTGCTTTATTTGAAAGTCTATTTTTCTTCTTCTTAAAATGTCTGTCTGCTCTGTAGGTATGGGTGAAAATGTGGTCACAGTGCTCGCCTAGTCTTCTGACGGGTTTTGAATGTTTGAATTTGAGTGTTCCATGATTTTGTTCGCAGCTCAGACGTACACACTGTACACACCGTTGACTACCTCCTGTGTCTGAGCGTTCCAATTCTCATTTATGCCTGAAAATCTTTCCTCATATTGTTTTGGTTTCCTTACTATGCTTATTTTATTTCACGACGCACTCGCTATAAAAGGATGTATAGGATTGCCGGTCTCCCTATATATTGTTTTTATGATTAAAAGCTTTCATTTCAATGCTAAAAGAACTTCAGTTCAGAATTATTATGTTTTTAGGCTAAGTCTATCAGGGACAAACAAAAGTCTAAATTCATAAAGACAACTAGCTTATATTATAAACTGGTAAGAATAAATTGACTTTAATTGTGAACTGTTGAGGATGATTAGGGATGCAGGTATGCAGGTTGATGAGTGGTCATCCTTTGGTTTTACACTTTCGGGTCCTTTAGATTATATTTCCAATTTCCAGGCCTAAAAATAATTTGCCTTGCAACCACATTCCAAAAAGAGGATACCTCAGCAAGCAGGTTTCAAAGTAACTTTTTACTGAAAGGATTAAAGACGTTTCAGGGTTTCTTTCTCTTGCCATTCTGCTGTTACACTGAGACTCCAGAGGTTCATAGTTTGGACAGTAATAAAATCCACTAATCTGGCTCTGACAAATACCACCACTATTTTAATAACCACAAATAGTAATAATGCTGCGGAATTTTTGTCTCTTTACAACGGTACTTAGAAGCTCCTAAGATCGACTTGAATTCAGTAACGCTTACGGGTGGAGACCCAGCTGCCATTTGTTTCCCCACCAACCTATTTCTTTAAAGGGTTCTCTCTCTGTCTCTCTCTGTCTGTATCCCCCCCACCCCCCGCCCCGAATATTGGAACCTCTCTTTCTCATCTGCTAGGACCTTGCACTTAAAAATTCCAAAAGTTGTAGGTAGCCGGAAGTTGTCGAAGTTGCAGGAGCACGTCCTGAGCAGGTTCCTATGCCAGCGGCTGCGTCATAGATCCTGGCCTTTGTCAGGCAGTGCCCATGACCTCCCTGTACCAGACAGCACCTCTGGATGAAGACCCTGATGGGTGGTGTCTTCATACTCACTGCCTGTTGGCTCCTACTATAGTTAAGAAACCAGCAAGCACAGGATTGCAGGAAGAAATGAGGAATCAAAAGATAAAGGTCGGAAGATAAAAGTTGATAGAAGTGAAATGTTCGGTGAATCTGGTAGCCAACATTTGTTAAATTGTAACTAAGAGACAAAGAAGAAAGGTGGCAGAGGATGGAATGAGGCCAGGAGTGGCTGTGATAAGGGCAGTGGGGAGAATAAAGTGACTGCACTGTACTATAGTGTCCACGGGTCTGGAATAGCCGCTGGCAAAGGCTCCCCAGGTGGGGCCAGTACTGAGGCCTTGCAGGCCATGGTCTCTCCTGTGTAGCTCTTCCCTCTGCAGTTAGAATGGAGAAGCAACAATAAAGCCTTGTCCAGGGAGGTGCAAGTCTCTAATCCTGGTGCTCCAGAGGCAGAGCCAGACAGATCTCTGTGAGTTCGAAGTCAGCCTGGTATACAAAGTACTCACTCTCCGTCTCAGGACAGTCATTGCTATGAGAGACCCTGTCTAAAACAAAACCAACTGAATAATCAACCAAAATACCAACACCACCACCATCACCACCACCAACAACAAAATAATAAAGCAAATCTTCTGAAGGAATTTTCTGAATCGAGAGTCCATTTCTCAAGTGACAAAATACTAGCAAAATCACTCACTTCACCGTGTGTGTATGTGTGTGTGAGTGAGTGTGTGTGTGTACAAGCGCCACGGTTGTTTGTTGGGGTCCTCCTCAGTGACTGTCCATCTTCTTTCCTTGAAACATTTCTGAATCCCCAGGGCTCTGACTGGAGTGAACCAGGTTGAATCAGGACCAGGACTCTGCGGTTCCTATGAACCCATACCTGTTTCCCTTTTGATCTCCTGTAGGTACTTACAATCCAGGTCATTATCCATATTGGTGCCACTGTCCTTCCAAACTCCAACTGTATCAGGTGAACATTGTTCTGAGGGCCCACCCACCTCAAGACAGTGTCTGTTTTTCCCAAGTGGACCTTCAGTTCCCAGAGAT